TAAAAATTCAATGTTTCTTCAGTTTGCCCCGGTGATTTGGGTGCACTGAGGCAGCTGCATTTTGCTGATTTGTTGTTGTTCTCTGTGCACCCAATTGCAGCTGTGTCACTAAACAAACTGATGGAAACTGCGTTTAAATAAGTGTGAGACAACAGACGCTGAAGATGTGGTCACAGAGAGTTTTCCAAAAGTCAAAAATACTCAAATAAAGTGTCACTTTAAAAAAAATCAAGAGAGGGAGTGCTGAATGGATTGTAACGTGGGTTTGGCCTGAAGACAGCAGCGTACAGTACAAGTTCACAGCGATGACAGATGGTCTGTGAAAAAAGCTGCAGCACCAAACTGTGAAGTGGCGACTTCCCAGGGTTTGTTGATGTTTTCTATCTAAAGGACTCTAAACGCTGATGGGCTGAAGTGTGTTTTCTGCAGCAGTTATGAATTTGAGAGCCTAAATGTAGAAAAATGTCTAAATTAATAACATTTCTCAACTTAGAAATCACAAAACAGCTTAAACAAAAACACAAACAGCTGACTGTATGTTTTACTGCATGGTAAAGGTTTCAGTGGGTCATTATTTGTGGAGTGCTATAAGTGAACAAAGTCTGACATCTAGAGTTTGTTTAGAGCAATTACAATGTACTTYTGCAGTAAAGTTGATCATACTTTTTTATTTTACTCTGACTCCTTGGTTGTTTTTTTTTTGCAGCAGCTCCTTGTAACTTTAACCAAAAAAATGACATGAACATGAGTCATTTTTTTTATGTTCAAAACTTCTTTTTTTGCATTAATCTCCTGCAGCAGAATGACACTAAATAATAATGCAGGTAGTTTAAAGTGCCTGTGACATCRAWTTTTTTGCAATAAAWATGAATGCATTTTATGAAAGACAACATTGATAACATGTTGCAAAAATAATTTCACTCTGCTGAGATGAACAGTTGTGGAGATATTTGCATGAGAAATGACAGGAAGTGATGTCAAAGGGGAATGTCTGCATGTAAACAGAGCATTGCTACAAGGCTAACAACACCAACTGTAAAGAACCTGATGTTTTTTTTAGATTATTTTCAGTCACTATCAAAGAGATGAAGAGTCAGAGTTCAAATAATATTGTTACAATAAAAAAACAGGGAATTTCATTTCTTAAAGAGTTCCCCTTTGATGTCACTTCCTGTTTCATTTTGGTTGAGCTAAATCCTGAAGAAAATCCACCAGTTGTGTGAAAAAATAGGTAGAATTGTGCGCAATATGCAAAATTTCTTAAATATAAAGATGTTTTCTTTTACTTTTTGTATTTGAGTGAGATNGTTCCCCTTTGATGTCACTTCCTGGTTCATTTTGGCTGAGCTAAATCCTGAGGAAAATCCACCAGTTGTGTGACAAAATAGGTAGAATTGTGCGTAATATGCAAAATTTCTTAAATATAAAGACGTTTTCTTTTACTTTTTGTATTTGAGTGAGATGCATCACAGTCAGTTTAATTTGCCAGTGTGAGCTATTTTTACCAGACGTTATTAGACATTGAATAAATATTATTTAATGATAAACTATGCAGATTATCATCCTGTTAGTAACAGAATCAGCTGAACGTGACTCAAGTTTTCACCAGAATTAAAGTTCAATTTTAGCAAGATTTTGCTCGAGTTTAATTTACGTGTGCAAACGTAATAGAAAGGGACATCACCTCACAAGAGTTTAATCTGCTGCAATCAGAGGGTTTTTTTATTAAAACATTTCTTCTTAAAATAAGAAAAAGAATAATAATGATTTGTAGAAGAGTGTGAACTGCATCTCTGGTTCATGAGAGGAACTGAGTTCAACAACGAGAGCAACAGGAAGAACAAATGGATTATTTCCTTCTCTAAACTGAGTCCATGTGTGTTTCCTGGTTTTCTCCCTGATTCTCTGTTTTCTGCACCAGTTTACTGTTTAATAGACTGTGTTGTAATTGACTTTAACAGTGTTCAGTTCGGACATTAACAAATTCAGTCGCAGTAATTATGAACCAGCTCTCTCTCTCTCCAGGTACAGGAGGTTATATCAGAAAGTAAACAAGAAAACAACATTTAATGTTTGAGCTAAACGTTTTGTTTAGTTTATCTATTAAGAAATGTTTAAGTTCTTGAACCGTAGTTCTTGGTGGCTGTAGCCCTTTCTGCCAGCTTTGGCACAATTTATATTTTCTCAAAGCAACAAATCTCTGCCACTGCAACACAACTGGCAAGATTCACCTCTGGAAAGCATAAACATATGCTTAAATACTGACATTCGTTTGAGTCCGCAGATGGAAATAATTCACACCGTAATAGTGCTAAAACAAATAAAAGTTAGTTTATATGGTTTACCTATAGTAAGTTGTTCTTCTGGTACGTGTTGCTGAGGCCTGGGGAGAAAAATTGATGCCAGACAATGAACAAAGCTTTTCTTTGTGGTTTCTGCAGATGTTTGGAGCCTCGTGTTCAGGGCGCGCATTAAATCATTAGAAATAGTCGATTAAAATTCTTATTTATAGGGTGTTCACATTTATCCCTCTGATGGATTGATCTGGTTGCTCAATAGTTGTTTTGGCCCCATTATGGTTCTAAGGGACTCTGATTTTATTAAAGCTACGCCATCATATATATTGGCTTGATAATAACAGGTTCTTTAAAAAAAAAGTTATTTACTGTAATAATGAAGTGTCTGTAAAATACAAAGGACTGCATATTTCAAGCTCTGTTGACTGCAGTAAAATTAAATAAATATGTGTAAATGATGTTTGCTGCACATGTAAGTTTGCTGCTCTTTTAAATAAAATAAAGACTAATATTTGCATCATGCTTTCTTGGTGGATCCTGGTTGGACTTTTCTGCTGTCGCATCAAGACACATGTCACACAATGCCAGACTAAAGGTAAGAATTACTTTTTTTATTCAGTGAAATCCCTCTTTATTTCTTGGCATAAAAAATCTCAATAATTGACTTGACAGGGTTTTTCATCCTGCAGATGGTTGCTAAAAAGAGAAGGGCATGGTTGATGAATTTCTCAAAAAAATGTTTATTCACAAACATTTTTGTTGTTCATTTCTTTTTTGTTCATTAAAATTCTTTATTATTGCTTAAATTCAGATATTCATCATGAAACATACTGACTTTAAATTATTTATTCCTTTACTTAACATATCCCTCTATAAGTTCCACCTTAAATACCTTTAATCTAAACTATATCGTCAGGATTTAAATGACAGAAGTTATGATCATTAGCTCAGTAGGAACACAGAACATGCTGAAATCAAGATTTATCCATGTGTTTCTGGCTTTGATTCTCCTTTGAGGTTTATTGTCTGCTGATAGATTTTTCTGCAAGGTCAGAGGTCACATAGTTTAAAATGCAGGGAGCACTTCATGGATTACAGCCAGAATGTCCACTTGTCTCACGTATGTTGATGGTCATGTAACGACCAGCTTCCACAGATAGGCAAACACAAATACATAAACAGTGATGGAGAAAGTACTCAAACACTGTACTTAAGTAAAAGTACAAATAAACAGACAAAAATGTACTCTAGTAAAAGTAAAAGTACCACATCAACATTTTTACTTGAGTAAAAGTAAGTAAGTGCTTGCTTTTAAAAATACTTAAGTATTAAAAGTAGAAGTACTTGCTGAATGTATTCCCTAATGGTCTACAATATTATGGAGTGTGTCTGTGTATATTTTAAATGCATCAACGGTGTGCGATTTTAGTGAACAATGCTGCAGTTTGTGTTGACACTCTGTGACACTGTTCACACTTGGTGTGATTCTGTGCATCATCACAGACTGTGACAACAGCTACAGAAGCCGTAAATTTGCCACCATCGTCCTTTATCAAATCTCAACAAGTCATTTTTTGAACCAATTAACTTGAATAAATAAGGCCATGAGTGGCACACTTCCTCCTTTGTGGAATCCATTGTGGGCGTCCTGATGCTGCTGCTGCTGCTGCTGATACTGATGCTGCTGCTGCTGCTGCTGCTGCTGCTGATACTGCTGCTGCTGCTGCTGCTGCTGCTGCTGCTCCAGGTGATGCAGAATCGCTCCGCTTTTTTTTTTCTTAAGGAGGCTCTAGTGGTACTTCCCTGCTTTGCACTGCTTCAATGGACCAATTACAGAAATTCCCCTCTCGCCACTGATTACTTTCAAACTAAACAAACAAACAAACGGATAAAAAAAACAATGCGACGTGAATGTAATTTGTAATTCAACGCATTACAGAAATGTAGTGGAGTAGAAAGTACAGATACTTAATGTAAAATGTAGTGGAGTAAAAGTAAAAAGTATCCATGATGAAATCTGCTTAAGTAAAGTACAGATACATGAAAAATGTACTTAAGTACAGCAACAAAGTACTTGTACTTAGTTACATCCCACCACTGCAAATAAATGCATTTATCTGAAAGTAAACTTTTGCTTCGTAACACAAAACCCTTACTTTTATCTTCTCTAAAGCCCTTTTTCCAGGTGCAATCAGAGGAAAAACAGGACTGAGAACAGCAGTGAGCCCAACGTTCCACCGGTCTCTTTATGACGCCCATCTGCTTTTTGAGGTACAACCAACAAACAAGATGTTCAGGATTATTGAGAATGTAATCTTCTCTTATTTATTCTTCTCTTTTCCTTTCTTTTTTACAAATTACATCCTGATGGCTGGTGTACATTTTCAGCCCAATGAAACATTTTCTGTTGAAGACRCTGAACTGTTTTCACTCCAGAAGACAAAAACTTTGGACGTCATCTACGCAGAAATTATTCATAAGAACCCAACAGAAATTTCTCAGCTCATATTTAACCTTTCAAATCTTATTGTTCCACTGCATCAGGAGGATTTTGAGCGTACCCTTTTGACTCTGGTGTACGTTACCCAAAAGATGATCAGTTCTGTTGAAGTCCAAAGAAACATGTGGCGAGAGTCTTTTGTCGGTTTGTACAAAGCTATAAAGAAGGACTTGACACTTACAAACTGAGAAAATATGATCATAGTTGGTTCAAGTTCAATTTACTTTAAAAAAATTACAATGAGAAAGTTTGAGTTCGAACATTGAGAAATTGTTACATTTCTTGTTTAAATCAGCATGAGAAACCTCAGAAAATGTAATCAGAAATGATTAAAGTGCACAAAAAGATTAAAAAATGAAATAATTGCTCAAGTTTAAAACAAATAAATATACTGAATGTACAATTTGTTTCATTTAAACATCAAATATTATGGATTCAACATTCAAAAGCCTTTTATTGCAGTTTTTTGTCTTCTAGCACCACTCTGAAAAAGTTCATTGACAGAAATAAAACTTTAAACCAAATAAAACATACATTTCATGTGATTAGTGGTTTTCAGAGAAGGTTTAGTTGAGTAAAAAAACATACAACAAATATAATAAGAGTTAATGGAATTCAGTGTAAAAGAAGCAAAATGTCTTGTTTTGTTTTGTCTCTACTTTGACTTTGTAACATTTTAAAGTGAGCTCAAGCAAATTTAAAGAAAAGTCAAAAGATGTCATTTACTTTGAGCTTACATGCGACATGTTGACTCAGCACTAAAAAAAAAACACTCGTTAAAAGGAAGTTATCAAAGTACTGCAAGATATTATTGGGAGGCGGCACTTGAAATGTTTGTATTGTTACAGTACAATGCCTTCAGGACGGGCCGTAAACTGAGCTGCCTGTGATGRAAGGGTTTTCCAGGATGGCAAATTTAGACTCCAATAATGATCTGTCCGGAGCCCGGAGTTCCCAGAGGCTGCTTTGGCTCGTGGGACTGGGGTAAACCAGGGGGGCAGAAGGGGACGTACCGCAGCCAGGAGAAGGAGGACAAGTACGAGCCGATGCCAAAGGGAAGGTTGTAGACTTCTCCACTCTCGAGTGTTTCACTGGAGTCATCCTCGTGAGCCTTGTTCCAGGACAGGATGCCTCTTTCCTGTTTGGATCCTGGTGGAACCAAAAGAGGAGCAGCTCACAACACTAACCTTCAGAGCTTTTTATTATTATTATTATTATCCATCTGCTGTAAAGTAACAGGACCACGCTTTTGTCAAACAGCATCCATCTTTTTATCAATTAAACCATCACCAAATAATTAATCATGGTCATGTTCTCACACAAATGTGACACCAATGTGGAAATCACTTGACCCTCTGCATGGTTTTTAGTCTCATTTATTGCACAGTTATATTGTGATTTACTGTATTTATTTAATAAAATACCAAGATAATACATCTTTTATTTTRGAATCTGATTTTGCTGGGGAAATCAGGTTAAGGAAATGCCAAGATGGTACAAGATGTTTCTGATTTCAACCCAGTATTTATTAATGACAAGACTGTCAAGACTCGTATTTTAGAGTATGAACAATGTAAGTAARTAAAGTTTTATTTATAAAGCACTTTTCACAGAAATATATTCACAAGGTACTGTTCAGTCATTAACAGTGTAAAAATGGTGGAAGGATAAAATGAAACAGAATAAAACATAATTAAACATAAGCAAATTAATAATGAATAAATAGAATTAATAAGGTTAAAGCTAAATGATGTAAAAAATACCTGGAATGGTGTTGTCCAAAATGAATCCAAAGAAGCCTCCGACAAACATGCTGGTTGTCAGAAGTACCTGCAGCATCTGATCAACTTCGATTACGCCTGAAAAAACAAACTTTTGCTTAAATCATTGATAARAATTTTCATTAAATTTTTGTTTTTACATTAAAGCTAAAAGTTTTTCTTCTAAGGTACCTGTAGCAATAGCTTTAGGGTTCTTTAAAACCCAGTTGGGAATAGCCAAACCAGCAAAAATGGAGAATCCAAAAATGAAGATGTTTCTGGATGAATTCATGTCTACATACTGAAACAYGACCACATGGAATAAAAATGTGATTATTTTCATCAAAAACAAATTAAAATCTTAGGGTTTAAGAATTCATACTTGAAGATTAGAAATTCCTGCTGCACAAATGACCCCAAACATAACCATGAACATTCCTCCCATCACCGGTGAGGGGATCGTGGTAAATATAGCGCCCATTTTCCCAAGTATACCCATCACAATCATGAATATGCCGCTGGCCACGATCACCATGCGACTCCCAACCTGCAAATAAAAAAAAACAATGGAGATTCAGTCAAAATCATAATCCATGTTGGTTGGATGCAAACCCAATTTTCACATCTTACCTTTGTGATTCCAAGTGCTCCAACATTTTCGCTGTAAGAAGTGGTTCCATTTCCAGTACCCCACGCACCTGCCAGCAGGCAGCCCAGTCCCTCGATACCGATCCCCCTGTTGATGGCGTGTTTGGGTGGGGGTGGAGCACCAGATAGCCTTGCACAAGCGTGATAATCCCCAACAGATTCTATCATGGAGGAAATCACACCGGCCAGGATGCCAACTACCCCTGCCAGGCTCACAGTCGGCATTCCCCATTGTCCTAAACACATGCACAACAATCTGTTACTTTAAACGGCAAAAATGTCATTTCTTATTGTTTGTTTAGATGATCACTTCTGTACTTGCATATTTTTTTTAATTTAACTCCATAATGTCTTCATAGCATCTTACCTGGGTATGGAAAAGTAAGCCAGGGAGCTCTGCCTATAACTTCTCCTTTTAGATCGGTGCGTGCGAGGTAACCGTAGTGTTCTGGATCAGCAGGAAGCACATTACAGGTGGTCAGAATGAAGCAGATGAGCCAAGAGACTGTGATCCCAAGTAAAACCTGAGAATACATACATGTGTGATTTAATAGATACTTGTGAGGGGGGGTTGTGTGTTCTTTTCAAAGGTATTCCATACATACAGGGAGAATTTGAAAAATGTAGACTCGAGAAGTGTGAAGCTTTTTATCCTTGCTGTATGTAGGAAAAGGCAGGGCGATGTGACGGAGATACTGCGAGAACAGGATGATCAGCGCTGTAGTCCTGTATAAAACAGGGTCAAAAAAATATTAAATTATTAGACCAAAAGCTGTCTTCTTGTGAATGGCTGTAATTTCATTGTTCTCTGTACAATGACAATAAAGGTTTATCTTATCTTATCTTATCTTATCTTATCTTATCTT